GTCGCCAGCCTTTTCAGTGTGTTGAGTACTTTGTTAATTTTGGAATAAACAGTGAGCTACCTAGTCGTAAGCAATGTAAGCCAACTTAAATGAAATTATACACAGATAAAACGCCTGTTTTATCATTCATCATCTTCATAAGGTTTCTTTTGTGTAATTATCTGGGACACCCGGTATGATGCGTCAGTTGCAGCCTTACTTTTGTCGATTGTTTTTAAAAACATTGTCTGTTGTCCAATTAACTGATTTTTTAATGGTTTGAGTACAGTTTTATAGTGAGTATCGATATTCAATTTTTTAGCAACTGAAATTGCATACTACATAACAAACATACATTTCCCTTTAACCTCCGTAAAGAAAAATTGTCCTTCCCATTCTGAATGGAAGTGGTATGTCTTCATCTTCTTACTACTGCTCATAACGTTTTTATTGCAGGCCAACTCTAACCCAACCGCTGGACTTTGTGCCGTTCAGTTTTAAACTGAGTGCACTGCTGCCGCGCCTTGCGTATTTATTCCATTCAAAGTGATCGAGATCGTTCTCGAACAGATCGCTCACGGCAGTGTTGCCGATGCTTGTGTTTATTATGTGAATTTATAAAATTTACGGAAGCTTCTATGGTTTTTACATCTTGTTAAAATATGTTGTGGGCCACCAGAATTGCCTTTCCGAGCTACCGGTAGCTCGAGATCGACGGGTTGGCGACCACTGTCCTAGGACATTTTCGTTTCGTCAGAGATACTAGGTTGAGAGTTAAGTGATAATACTGATTTATTTTAATTTTTGTATTCAAATATAATTACAATTTTATAATGTTGCAGTCAAAATAACCCCGTTTTGGAGCCACACAACGCTGGAGAGGTTCTTCCACTCCTCATAGCAGTGCTGAAATTCCGACACTGGATGCGCCTCCAGCTGGTCGGTTACAGAGTTACAGCCGTTTGAATGCTTTCGACTATCCCAAACTGAGTTGCTTTGAGGTGATTTTTCGCTTTCCGGAAAAGAAAAAGTCATAGGAGTCAAATCAGGCGAATTAGGATGCTCATGAGCCACAGTAATGTTTTTACCGGCAAACACTTGTTTATTGACAATTCTGTGTTACGAGGATCCAGGAAATCAGTTATTTTCTGAAACAATTGTGGTTTATTTTATACTGTAAATATAACTCTTTTCCTTATAATTTACGTTAAACATCATTTTTTGAAGAAAACCGATAAAGCAAAAAAAACTATACATTTTTTATCAATTTTAGGAAGAGCTCGATAATTGCATGCCCGATTGCTGTGGAGCTGTGAAGTGCAAAAGCAATACAGTAATTCGAGTTGGTTTAAATGAAATTTTGTTGAAGAAGTCAACAATACCAAAAAGGCTGCAAGCACACAAAATAAATAGCGCCAACATGAAACATCACCGAAACACTTGGAATCTAAGGTTATGTTGTGTACATTTCATGACTTCCTGTAATAGTTGTACAGTTAACTTACATTTTTCTATTTTATTACTTGTTAGAATTACCTGAGTAATGTTCATACCTAATTGAGAGAATCGAACCTCTATCAACTCGGTCATATACTGCCACACATTCTGAACTAAATGTATGGCTGTTTCATAGCCCTTCAAAATCATATGGTGTTTCAAGCTCTAAAAAGTAGATATAATCAATATAGTCAAAAACTGTTTATTTTATTTTATTCCTACCTGACATGAAATGGAGTCATGGTCATTAGTAGCCATTGTGCTTGTAGCGTTTCTTTCGTATGCCAAGGAACTTTTTTAAATAAAATAGTTGTTAGTAAGTACAAAATAAATATGTAGCGTACATGTCCTGTGCCGATACGGGGAATTTTGAATAATTACTTTTTAACTAGTCATTGTCCCGTGATGGATGCTCGTGAAATAGGGTGTAAGACTGCAAGCTGGTAGTAACTGATAGATGGAACTGGTTGAAACTGCATCCATTACTGCAAACCAGGCATCATGTATCGAAAAATCCTCTGATTAGACATAATTGATTCAATATCATTAATAATAAAATACCTGTGTTGATACCAGCAACCGAAAAGAATGGTTTGAGAGCCACACCGTAACAAGAGGTGAATGAAGAATTGTGCCGCATTTCCCGTATCTGTACAACAATATTGATTCTTCGATTCCGTGTCCGTATCAGTCAACAGACAAATTAATGTTCCGCACTAAGCAACCTCTCTGTTTTATAGCTTGTGTAGCCGGAAGCACTCCGAAGCTACTACGATGATTATAGCAGTTTTATTGCTAGAAATAAAAGCGAAGATCACAGCAGGTCGGAACAAAGGCAATTAAGCATGGCGACTTTGTATTTGCCCTACACATTACAGAAAGTAAGCTCTTAGAGGCAAGAATCATTTATTGCCCTGGAATGCCGAGAAGGTTGTTTAGCAAATAACTCCTTGAGCTTAATGATAGCGAGAAAGATATAGACCATAATAATTCATATTTAATTAATATTGACTTTTACCTCGTACGCAAATTAACTTAGCAGTATCGCAATTGCAAAAAATTTCGGAAATGAGATGATGTAGATATTGAAAATGTTACATTCCATGCTTTGTACAGGTACTCATTAGCTCAATTAAGGAAGCATAGACGCCTAAGCGCTTTAATGGTCAAAATTTTAACAGTAGAGACATTTTACGGTATTGAAGGGTCACAATTACAAAGTTTAGGTGTTTTTACGAAAGAAGTCCTCATAACAGATATGAAGACAACTTTTCATATTGTTGAGGGTGGAGCTATGCATTATTTTCTTATATTAGGTAGAAATAAAAAACAAAGGAGAATCGTGGAAAAAGAGCAGAAATAGAAGGATTGGTAACCCGATCGACGTACGTTTTTGCTTATTGGGTTTTGCAAGATTCCACAAGACTACTTGTCTTTCTTTCTATTAGGTAGAAATTTTATTTTTGATGATAACATTGAAGTGACACTTGCTGAAAATTTAGTTTTAATGGTGAAGGTCCAAGTCGATAACCAGAGACAAACAACTTAATTAAAATGTGGATTTTAGTATCAGACATGGTCTCACACACGATGTTGTTCTGGTTGTAAGTGGCTTCATCTGTGAGCTCCAGTGTTATTTTATAGCCTTGCAATAACTTTGTCGTTACAGATGGTTCGAGAAATGTGATATTTATCATTTAATAGCTCTGGAATGCAAGATACTCCCAGATTGAGACCTTTACTATACCGTTGGGGCGATATGTAACTGACTGGTTTGTATCTTGTGGAATGAAATAAAATACGTCTATTTTTTTCATCCTTATCTTTTATTGAAACTTAGAAAGTACGTACGAAAAATAATATCAGACTAATGTCGTCCTCTAGAAGCCTCGCAAACCAGTGCCCTCTTGATTACATTTTCCATCACTTTTTGGTAGGTTTCGGGAGGAATATTTTCAATCGCTTCCGTAATATTGTTCTTCAGCTGCTCTACACTATTTGGTTTGTTGGCATAAACGTTATTTTTCAAAAATCTCCATAAAAAAGTCAGGAACCGTTAAATCCCGTGACCTTGGTGGTTAGTTGACATCACCAAATAGAGAAATTAAACGTCCCGGAAATATTATTCCCAAAAGATTCATTGTTTTCCTAGCTGTGTGGTTTGCAGGTTAAATTGTTGGGTTTGAGGAGCCAGAAAGTTTTGCGCATTATCACGGTAGCGCTCGCCAGTGACAGTAAGAGAATTACTGCAGCTTCTTCAAAGAAGTAAGGTCCAATGACACCTCCATACCAAACACCGGACCAAACTGTGACTCGACGAGGATGTTGTGGTCGTTCTCTAATGCCCAGATGTGACAATTATGTTTATTAATAAATCCGTTCACATCGAAGATGGACTTCATCGCTCATTATCAGTTGCCGGTAAAATCGTTATTTACTGAATTTTGTCTGGCCGCAAATGCAAGTCTTATTTAAAAATAGTGCATAATGACGTGCAACGAATACCCAGTTCTTGAGAACGATGTCTGGTAGACGTCTCAGGGCGCTCCACTACACTTTCACGAAGTCTCTCGATATTTTCCGGTATACAAACAGCTCGAACACGGCCCGACCTTGGGAAGTGTGTAACTTCACCTGTTTGTTCAACTATCCGCACAAACTGACGAATGGTGTTGATACTGGGCAGATTATTTCGATCGAAATCTTGCCGTAGCTTCCGAATCGTTGCAACAATCGACTCATTATTTAAGTAAAACGTTTTAACAATACGGACGCGTTGTAGGATCGTGTAGAGCTCCATGATGAATTGGACACATGTGTTTTAAACAACTACTACGGCGCCACCTACTGAAATGCGTGTATCAAAAATTGTGCGCAATTTAAATCAGTCAGGTATATATTGGCCACCCTGTATAATTAAAACTATTAAAGGCTTTCAATAACCCTTTACACGCGGTTTCTATTAACCTTAAGCTCTTCGTGTCTTGGTTTATAGAATTAGTTATGGGACATTCATACCACTGTTCGAATCACTCTCCAATTGTGTCTAGATTGTGTCGAGTAGAACAACTCTACCATTCCAGCTATACCAGTTATATTTGCACGAATTCGAATTGATAATGTAGTCATGAATCGTGGGTAAAATAGGCGGCTTACCATTTATCCCTTAATCAGTTTAACTACTTTGTTTCATCCCTTCTGATGACTATAATGTTTATGTTTATTCTCTCTGATGCTTATAGTTATGCATGCTTATTTCATAGTGCTTGTAGCTATGTTCAGTCTCTCACACACTGATACCAAATATATATTATTTGATCTTTGTTGTACTTTTCACGGTCCTTACTAAGAGACTTAGAATGTGTGATTTACACAAAACTACGTGCCGATATAAAAATTCTATTCGTCCCTTTCCTTAAGCATTGTCTAATAAATCTTAGGACATTGGAAAACGTCAAGAAACCCCTTATACATGACTAATAAATAAGAGATTGTGATAATCAAACGGAAGGTATAAGACTTACCTCACTATCATTACTATGCAATGTCAGCCTATAACCAGGCAGCAGGTCCGCCCTAGCGTTGACATCTTCAAGGGCCAGATGGGCTGCCGGCATGCAAGCTTGTCCACCTTGCCAGCCGCCCTCTCCGGCGATTGGGAAGATGCCGCCGATATGAAGCTCGCTGCCGCCGCCCTTGAAGCTGCTGCTGCCCTTCTTGCTACCGGTGCCTCCGCCATCACACACCCTCCAGCCGCGGGCGGTCATCAGGAGTAGCACCAACCACTGGAATAGAAAAATATTATGTCATTTGTTTTATTCAGTAAAATACATGAATTGGAAATGTTTGTGTCAAGAGTAGGTTCCCCTTTGGCGGAACCTCGCTTTGGTCCTTTACCTAAATTAGAAAATGGCGTTAAATAGGTTGACTCTACACACACACTCTCTAAGAAAGAAATTATTTACAAACATGCACAATATAAAACTTAAATGGATCAAGTCTTTCAAACAGGTCCATACAATTGGTCCATAGAGATTCTTTCCCCACCCTACCGGTAATTACCGTCCATCTAACAACGTTGCCTCTTCCCATAGCGTCAAATACGGTATGAAAGCACCACCGCAGTACTAACAGAACAATCAAGCAGAGTGTTATACCGGGCGATGAGCCCAGACAGCAGAATGAGACCCGTATCGAAAACATTTCTCTATCATTCTATATTTCGAAGACAAATGTATAGAGAAATTTATGATGAGTGAAATATGGCTAATGGATGCGTAGAATTACCGGCGTTGGGTGTGGATAAATGAAGACTTCAAGTAAATAATGTACTAAGTGCCAAAATATCGGTTTTTCATGTTATACTTGTAAAATGATCTAGGTGTCATAACCAACAGCATAAATACAGCGCTAAGTGCCATGGCTATATTATATTGTAGTGAAAAAATCCCAACAGAGTGCGCGCTTGTCAATCGCCATAACGCCGTCGGTAAAAAATATGCTAAGTGCCAATAAATATAACCTTGTTTATTTATATAAAGAAATTATATAAATATAAATGTTATTGTTTTTATGGATATATTTAGTATTTGGATGAGACCAATCAAACATATCTAGTGTCGTGTCATTCGTTTATGAGCTGCGACAGGGCTTTCGCCCAAAATGGAAAAGCGAAAAAGGTAAGAGAAATGCGAGTTACCTATGGATCTGGTGAGAATGATAATAGCAGCTGTGAAAAAAACACCATTTCTTGTTACAATCATGAACCGTGAGGACTTTTTCGATTTTAAAGTTGCTTCTGAAAGTTCAATCAATGCATCCAAGCTTCAAATTTCGAAAGTCCAGTGTATCAATATTAGCCGAGAAAATCCAGGACTCGTTAGCATCTGAGGAACCTTGAATGAAATAGAGCCTTGGAAAATAGGAAGATAACGAAGATTTTTAAGAAAAATGTTGCTATTGAAACTATTGCAAAAATGATTCTTTCAAGCCTGACCTACCAAAGTATAATTTCTGAATAAAAACAAGATCTGCTGGCAATTATTCCTTATTTGAAGAAAGAAAATAGACAATTTTATGAAGATCTGCTCAATACTAATATTCATCAGAAGCTAATTTTTTTCCGTTTTTTTCGTTATTATTTACCACAATATTTAGATTTTTGTAATGACACTTAGCACATAATGTTTATATTTTTGAAATGGCACTTAGCACATTCTATGATTTTGTAACTGTTATAATTTTTTTCTGCTATTTTTTACAAAAAGTTTCCGAAAATATTAGGTCACAGAAAAATACTTGCATACACCTATGTATAATTTTCAGGGAGTTTTTTTAATACATTGATTGTAGAACAAAAAATATTGTTTATCTCAAAATAATAATTTTGGCACTTTTGGGCAACATTGTTATGCCGGATAGCATACGCCGTGGAGTAGCTTTGACAACAAGTGTCCAGCTACATTGACATTTAGGCAACCAGTTTCGCGACCATGCGTAAGCGCTTGCGGCGCTATCCAGAAGGTTCAGCCCAGGTTCGAAAAGTATCTGTCGCCATCTACTGGCTTCGAGGAGGAACCGAGTTTTAGAAAATGTTAGAGTGCACCGGGAACCGCCGATTTAGCACATAAATATCCGACCAGATGGCAGAAGCAGTCAGTAGGTAGACAGCGAACGCGGAGTCGACATAGTAATAAATTTGTAAAGTAGTTGGAAGTATGATTATAAATTAGTGTAAAGGTAATGAATTAGATATTGAATAGTAAAAACGGTGATTTCGGTATAATAGTTCCTTGAATAAATGTTGCGAATACGCAAAGCTGTTACATAGTTACTGATATTCAGCATAAAGTCTCTATACCTTGAGTTTGCAGTGAGTATCGGTGTTACTTTTAAAACAAGGTTCATTTTGCAAATTGGAGAAATTACGTTATTTTTCACCTGGCGAAATGCTGAATTTCGAGAATCAACTGCAAAATGCAAGGTCCTTAATAGTAATATGAGCCAATAAAAGCGCATGTTTAGTCGTGAAGGAGAAACAAGTATATTCCTAAGAATTTTAGAATTTGTATAAAGAAATGAGATCTCTTGTGACTGAGTGACCTGATAATCTTCATGATTACGTAACTGGAAATAAAATTGCTTATTAATGTTAACAACACTTCAAATCAAAATCCGTATTATTGGAGACAAAACAACATTCTTTATAGATGCTGAAAATCAACTAAAGCTGTAACTTTGAATCTTATCTACTGTCATTTTGAATCTAAAAGTCCTAAGAAACATCGTTGCTTTCGCTTAAAAAAGCATTTTTCGCTTTCTCATTTTATGTGAGAAAGCACAGCACGCTCAAAAAATCTATGACTGCAGAGCTTCTAGTCGGACTTTTTAAGCTTCCTTCGAATAATAATATCATCAACTTTACCAAACTTCCTTAAAGCCGTTCAATGAGAATTCGTATTTATAACATAACCCTTATTTTTTACTAATGAGAGTTGACCACAGTTCGTGAATGTGGTACAAATAGGTTTTTAACAACCCCTTAACACGGTTTGATGACTAACTAGAGCTGTTGGTAGCATTGCGTGAGTAAACTTTACCACAGTACTTGTTGAGGTCTATTGTGTTGGCATGTATTCGGTAATAATACTTTCATTAAGACCGCGCTTGTTTTGCTAAAACTTTCAGTTTGTGGATCGATCTTGCCGTGTTGATAGCAAATCACAAAACAATTGGGAATCAATTTGAGGGGAAAAACGTTGCACCGTACGAATTAGAACGCTGAAATTAGACAGAGAAGTAGTGAGAAATAAAAACGAATCTGTAGAAACACATTCGATTCAAATGCTACTGGCACTGGCTGCTGGAGCGCTAATATCGCACTCCTGTATTGAGAAACTGCAATCGGAAACCTGGTATGAGTAAGTAAAGTTATGCAAAATGTCAAAATAACTGGTATTTTTACAGTGACGTATTCTGCGATCTAGCTTTACGGTACTGTTCAGGAAGCTATATTTTACTAAAAATGGTGGTTGAAAATTTCAGGATGGCGGCTGGTGTTGAGATACTTCATCTTGAAGCCCGTTGTGAGTACTTTATAACCCTAGATTATATAGTCACTGTCTTTTAAAATGGTCCATTGTCAGGCTGTCAGAGTTTAGCGTTCTCATATTATATATGTTATATCAATATTACTTTTTTGGGTCTATCTAAATGTGTAAAACATCAAAAATTGACAGATTTATCACTACATATTTTATTACATATTCGGATATACTCCTTCAAAATGAGAAAGTTGATATAAGGTACTAGCAGGAGGCACGAGCAATGAGGAACTGTGCAGTAGATTAGAAATGTCAACTTTAAAGCAACGGAGGTACTATGCCTCACTACTATTTGGCTTCAAACTGCTCCATAATTTAACAGATTGTCTTCCAATCCTGCAACATTCATATTCCAGCATGCATCTCGCGCAATCATATGGTTTTGAGGCTTCCTAAGGCAAGGAAAAATGTTATACTTAAATCACCATTATATGTTATGCTCATTATTATGAAGAGAATTGGGTGTTATGTCATATATGTTCTGTTAATGTTGTGGTGTCGCTTGCTTAAAACAGCTAATACTTTTATTGATGAATGACGATACTTATTCAAACCTGTGTTACATTCTTCATGAAGGTTAGTTTTCATTTCTTATCTATTTCACTTTAGTTTTTTTATTCGCTACTTCATATACATTGTCCTAACGTATGTCCTAAAAGTTGTGGCACAAAATATTTATCGGATTTTTTTTAATGAAGAAATTTATTTAAACAGTAACTACTTTTTATAAATTACAAATCAATACTTAACTAAAAAACATGAAAGCATGAAAGAACCTTATATACGGATAGCCAAGAAATTTTATTCAGTGTCAACTTTTTTGTGTGATTCCATGACTCCAAACCTCCAAAACTGACCTGTCGATCAAGGAAACCCTAAATTTAATATAAGCTAAAAAGCTCATCGAAGAACCATTAGAGCTAACTGAAATGGCGGAACTGATTTTTAATTTAGGAGCTCATCTGCTGCTGGTAATTGGAAAGCATCCGATTTGATTTTTTTGCCGTTGGAGGCATGTAATCTCGGAAAATGTATATCCAGTTTCTAAACAGTGGCGTATTAATGAGTCACAGCCAGAGGGTATGCAGTGAGGAGATAAATTTAGAATCATGTAGGTGTTAACAAATCGGTTCTGGAAAATTAAGAATAGTTCTTTTCAAAACCTGAACCCTCAATCAAAATTATATTTGGGATATCAAAATTATTTGCACAGTCACGCCAGAGACGGGGCAAAAATGTTGTATTCGTGGGAATCTTTTTCAACACCATTTTTCCTTTCTACGCCTTCTGGCGAAGTATTGTAATCGCGAAAAATTTCGAAGATGAGATATGTGTCTTGGGTTTTATGTGATGTCTACATCACCAAAAATCACGTCACTCGTTTCCGTCGGACAGTATGTCGGTTTGTCGCTGTGTCCGCTAATCCTTGGCCCGTCTATAATTTGGATTGGCTGACATTTTCAATAAGATTACTACTGTGCCAAGGAAGTTAAGCTTTATAGTTTTTGGAAATCGGTTCAGTGACGATGGAGGTACGAGGCAAAAAACAACAAAAAAAAAAACGCTCAAGCTTTGTTTCCAGAAAAAAATTATAGGGGTTAAAAATAGGGGTTGAGGATTGTAGGAGGTGCGAGAGGGTACATCTAAATTTTTTGATGTTTCCATTACCCCGTAAAGCTTAAG